AACTGTTCAGAATTTTTCAGAATATGGTCTGTTACTATGGCACGCTTTCGTATCCTAACGCGTTCAAACTCACCAATATTAGAAATACTTACAGGCTTCCTATATGAATTTCACGTTTCAGACATGATTCTCTCAAGAAAACTGTTTATTTGTCTTTCATTCAAATATTTGAATTCTTCAAAGAAGCATCATGTAAAATGGTAACAGACAATCATTTAGCATCTATAGTTCATAATTAATATGTCGTACAAACACGAAACACGATCTATTTTATACTGTCTTCGACCGCTCAAATATACATACACGTGATCTTGGTAATGCAGAAACAGAGAACTTAAGGGAGAAAGGATAAAACAACGTCACGGGTCCTTGCATTTCCCTGTTGTATGGATTGTGCAATACAGCGTCTGTCATCATAGATAGTCAGAGCTTTAGGAACGAGCCAAATTATCAAACTCATTCCTGCTGTAACTTTGCTCTGTGAGCGACAACAAGCGATTCTCAATATAATGGTAACACATGATAAGCGGAAAGAAAGGTTTCGGAAATTCACACTCTTAGGCTGGCCAGCGGCGTGCGAGACTGACTTGTTTTCATATGGCTAGAGTGGGATGTTCTCCATTTTTGCCCGCGAAATCACTCGTCCGAATATCTACCTAGTGATTATGTTAATACATACCAAAATACCTCCGACTTTCACATCCTTTTCCTTATGAACTGCAAGAAATTTCTAGATATACATGTTTGTCTGTAGTACTCGTGAGAACAGTGCTTTTAACTAAGTACATAGTCAATATGTATCAAGTCATTAAAAACCGCCTAGGGTCTTTATTGGATAATTCACATTATAGCAGTCACGAGACAAAACTGAGTCCTCCGAGGCGACTGTTCCTCCACCAAGTTCAAATTGTGTGATTCCCTCCGAGGAAAGATAGCTGGTCCGCTGGTCCGGTCCACATGACAAAGCTTCAGCTTAATTTTTAACTTTTTTTAACAGCTTTCTGGTGGTTTCTGTTAAACTAAATTAATTTAACTTGCAAGAACTGCAGGGGGTAGAGATGTCAATTGTCAGAGGCCGAAGGTGAGTTTGACGACTCACGATTGGTTATTTTAAACGAAAACCATTAGAAGGTGTCTAAAAGATGTCAAAAATATGTCAAAAACTGATAGAATAATTGGTCAATTTTTTCAACTTTATTTGTCGTCTATGAGTAAATATTAATTATAACATACTAATACTATATTATTAGCCAGCATAAGTGATTGAGGAAGTTAGGTTTTGCACTTTACATATTTCAGAAAGACGAAGGTAATGCTGAACGTAGGAAATAACTCGATTTTAATGTCCATCTGAGCCCATGAACTGAGACAAAAGCACGTTTGTCCCTTCGTATGAAAAGCTGTGAAAACATGTTTACAAGTTTATGGCAAGTGTCCGAAAATTACCTATCAAGTTCTATCAAGGTACGATTTCAAGTAGGATTTATTTCGAGGCAGGATCTGGAGTCCGGAGCTCAAGTCAGGCACTCGAGTAAGGATTTCGATTGAGGAGGAAGCCATCAAAAGTACTTTTTAACATGATATAAAAATTGTATAATTTTTTGTGTTTTAGGTACTGGACGAATTTCACTCCTCCACATCGTGTTAGACATTTTTTTTTTTTGATATCGTTAATCAATGCTTTCGCAGTTGCTTACGTACCGAAGTCGCAGTTGACGTGTTCCAGAGTTGAACGGAGTGATTGGTCGCTGATCGAATATATGTCGGAGGAGGGAACTCGATTTACTCATCAAGCGATTTACTCTAATAGCTTCTAGTGGCAATTGTTCCCGTCGTGCATCATTCTGAGACGGTAATTAGTGTGATTGTTAATCTCAGGCTCACACTGGTCGATCAAATGGAACCTTTATAGTGGAATATTCTACCTTAGGTATTGTTTATATTCATGGCATCGTAATAAGTGATATGTGGAATCGCTCTGGCCTGGGACAAACCTACTACCAGGCAAAATTAATTAAAATAGAAGCGGACAGCTAGATCAAGCCCACTGTTACTCGTTGGATGGCAGGGTGGGTCGCCAACCTCTTTCGTGGTCTCGAGTACAGTGATGGGGTGGAACAAGTGTAAATCATTTTATACTATCTTTTTCACAAGACCCAGGGTATCAAAACCAATGCAAATTGAGTTTGCATAAGTCCAATATAGACAGGCAGCGTTCAAAAAGATTGAAAAATTGAAAAATTTCATCGTTAATCTTACACAGCTGTAGGAAACGTTTGCCGTCTATTGACGTCTGGGCTGATACAGTTTGTACAACTAATCAGTGAATTTTGCGACAAATTTAAAGAATTAAATGTTTTAACTCTTTCTCGGAGTTCTTTTGAGGTGAAAACTGATTTCAAGTCGATTATTCGGCTTGCCTCGGCTTCAAAGCGAGTCCTGTATTTATATTAAAATGAGTTTAATCTGCATGAAAGTGAACGTGCAGGTGGACTGTTTCATATGAATGTTTTTTGTTTTTGTTTTTTTTTAACTGGCGAAGACTCGTTTTGGCATGGTAGCTGGCCACATCCAATCTGAAAAAAGCCTATTAAGA